ATATGTTCTTGTTGTGACTATTGCTATTATATGTTCTTGTTGTGACTATTGCTATTTAATGATCTTGTTGGTACTATTGCTATTGTAAGTTCTTGTTGTGGCTATTGCTATTAAATGTGCCTAATGTAGCTATTCATATAATATGTTCTTGTTGTGGCTATTGCTATTATAAGTTCTTGATTTAGCTATTGATATCATATATTCTTGTTGCAGCCATACCTATTGTTATTATATATTTTTGTTGTAGCTATTGCTACTAGAAGTTCTTGTTGTAGCTATTGCCATTATATGTTCTTGTTGTAGCTATTGCTATTATATGTTCTTGATATAGCTATTGATATTATATATTCTTGTTACAGCCATACCTATTGCTATTATATGTTCTCGTCGCAGCTATTGCCATTATATGTTCTTGTCGCAGCTATTTATGTTCATGTTGTAGCTATTGCTATTATATGTTCCTTGTGTAACTGTTGCTAATATATGTTCCTACTGTAGCAATTGCTATTATGTGTTCTTGTTGTAGCTATTGCCATTATATTTTCTTGTTCTAGCTATTGCTAATATATGTTCTTGTTCTAGCTATTGCTAGTATATGTTCATTATGTAGCTATTGCTAATAAATGTTCCTGTTGTAACTGTTGCTATTATATATTCCTGTTGTAGCTATTGCCATTGTATGTTATTGTTCTAGCTATTGCTATTATAAGTTCTTGTTGTGGCTATTGCTATTATATGGTCTAGTTGTGGCTATTGCTATTATATGATCTTGTTGTGGCTATTGCTATTATATGTTCTTGTTGTGGCTTTTGCTATTATATGGTCTAGTTGTGGCTATTGCTATTATATGATCTTGTTGTGGCTATTGCTATTTTAAGTTCTTGTTGTGGCTACTGCTATTAAATTATCTTGTTGTTACTATTGCTATTACAAGTTCTTGTTGTGGCTATTGCTATTATATGTTCTTGTTGTTGCTTTTGCTATTATATGGTCTAGTTGTGGCTATTGCTATTATATGATCTTGTTGTGGCTATTGCTATTTTAAGTTCTTGTTGTGGCTACTGCTATTATATGATCTTGTTGTGGCTATTGCTATTACAAGTTCTGGTTGTGGCTATTGCTATTATATGATCTTGTTGTGGCTATTACTATTATATGATCTAGTTGTGGCTATTGCTATTATTATGATCTTGTTGTGGCTATTGCTATTTTAAGTTCTTGTTGTGGCTACTGTTATTATATGATCTTGTTGTGGCTATTGCTATTATAAGTTGTTGTTGTGGCTATTGCTATTATATGTTCATGTTGTAGCTATTGCTATTATATGATCGTGATATAGCTATTGATATTATATATTCTTGTTGCAGCCATATTTATTGCTATTATATGTTCTTGTTTTAGCTATTGCTATTATATTTTCTTGTTGTAGCTATTGCTATTATATGATCTTGTTGTAGCCATTGCTATTATATGATCTTGTTGTAGCTATTGCTATTATATGATCTTGATGTAGCTATTGCTATTATATGATCTTGTTGTAGCTATTGCTATATGATCTTGATGTAGTCAGCTATTGCTATTATATGATCTTGATGTAGTCAGCTATTGCTATTATATGTTCTTGTTGTAGTCAGCTATTGCTTTTATATGTTCTTGTTGTAGTCAGCTATTGATATTATATGTTCTTGTTGTAGCTATTGCTATTGTATGTTCTTGTTGTTGCTATTGCAATTATGTGTTCTTAATATAGCCATTGATATTATATATTCGCGTCGTAGCCATAGCTATTGCTAATATACGTTTAATTACTAAACTATCCAGTGCGTATCGCAGCTACACCCAGCCTCGCTCACACATTGGGCAGGACCTTCTTGAGCATTCTGTTCTGTGTGTCCGTTGCGTACGATGTTTTGCGGCTGTGGCGTGTTTGTTCGCCCGTCATCTTCGTGTTCAGATGTGTTTTGCCTGAGGTCTTCCGCTTGAAGTTGCCGTTGCCCATGACCTTGAAGCGTTTGGACATTGCCTTGCTGGTTTTAGTCCCCCTGAGACGGATAAAATGTAGCGGGTCAATAGGAGTGCTGAGGTTGTAACTACAGTGGATGGTATGGGTGTGTGTGCTGGGGTTGTAACTACAGTGGCTGGTATGGGTGTATGTGCTGGGGTTGTACCTACAGTGGATGGTATGGGTGTATGTGCTGGGGTTGTACCTACAGTGGATGGTATGGGTGTATGTGCTGGGGTTGTACCTACAGTGGATGGTATGGGTATATATGCTGGGGTTGTAACTACAGTGGATGGTATGGGTATATGTGCTGGGGCTGTAACTACAGTGGATGGTATGGGTGTATGTGCTGGGGTTGTACCTACAGTGGATGGTATTGGTATATGTGCTGGGGTTGTAACTACAGTGGATGGTATGGGTGTATGTGCTGGGGTTGTAATTACAGTGGATGGTATGGGTGGATAGTCTATACGCCACTCATAGTGCGCCACCGCAGTGGTTGCCCTCCCCACAACGAGCCAGGATGGGTTTATACCACTGACCATGGAACGGAAAATTGGCTTTTGAAATAAAATCGGCTTTGAACTGGTATTTATGCAGCACACGAAATAAAAATTGGAATTAGTAGAACCACAGAAGCCCATCGGGAAACCGGCTGTGCGTGTGTGGTAGTTCATGCATACTCACTAAGTGACTAATCGCACACCAATGTACAACTGAGAAACTAAAACGCGTTTAAGGCAATGCGTCGTTTGTTCGGCCCATACGTGGTGAAGAGGCGTAGTGGCCAAAGCTACTCTAAGGTGCTTGGATATGAACCAGCGGATAACGCCATGCAGATATGCGTTGAACTTTATGAATAACATCTATGTAAACATCGGTATATTTGAGAGAGGCAGAGGGTTCTCTTCTATGAAAAAAATCCTGGTAAGCGAACAATACGCATATACGTCTTAGAATCGACGACATGCTATTCTGCAGCAAAGACATATCACAATCCGCAAACATGATAAACCATGTGGTCTAATTGTGTGCTAACAAACCATTTTGTAGTTGATTGAAAAGGCTTTCACGTACGCGTGTATACAGCACACATTCATATATAATGTATATATATATATATATACATATATATATATACATACATATACATATATAATATATATTATATATACAA